CCCCCCCCCTGCGGCCCTCTGTCCGTCCTCATCGAATCGAGCCAGGTGGGGATGGGGTGAATAGCATATGTGAAACAGGAAACAGGAAAAGCCGCGAGACAATACGACCCCCCCCCCTCTACCAATCAGATTTTCCCCAACTTCCTGCCACTTTTTCCAAAATTTCCCGAAAACTTCCCTACTTTTCCCCAAAAATTTTGCTGTCGAGGGGGGGGGACGCATGAAACAGGAAAATCACAAAAAGTCAACCACCACTCCTAGAAAGAGCAGAAAGTAAATACGACCCCTCCTTCCCAACAATGAGTAAGTACGCCCCTCCCCCCAACGGCCGTGAAGCGAGAAAAATCAACTATCAAAATAAATTTTTCCCAGCCCAAATACGACCCCCCTCTCCTGGCGGCCAAATACGACCCCCCTCTATTGGGATTCCCCAACAAAGATGTGCCCTGTAGAGTAGTCCACGTTCAAGCGCAACTGGGCCTGCTCATCTGCGCCCTCGTACTGAGATAGCGATCACCTCCCCCTTGAAGCTTTCGAGAGGACGACTGAACGGTTGCCGCTGGTCTCAAAGCGTGGCGTGCCTTTAATTTTTAAGTCAGACAATAAGTGAAGGCGTTTCCAGCATTAAATTTTGTATGAGAGAAAGGTGGTCCTAGTGCTCCCATACTGTTTGCTAGAGAGGTTCCATGTTCCATGAGATGACGATTAGATCCTCGTGCTCACCCAATTTTTTGCTGTTTTTTATTGCACTGAATTTGGGTGTCGAGCAGAGTAAAAAGAGAGCTTTGATAAACCTTTTTGTAGCAGAAGCAGCTCGAAGTGATGACGTATACGGTCAAGGAACACTTTCTCGTAGAACCGCTTAAATGCACGTTTCGCGTTGATTCGACGTGTGTGCTTGGTAGTTATAGCTGATATCGCAGCAATAAATCGGGGTGGTTCCAAAAGATTCAACTGAGGCCGGCGCCCGCTCAATTCTTACCATCATTGATCGAGGGAGAACCAGTGGTGGAAACGCCGCGGCCAGGCTCATTGAATCCCTCGGAACCGTCTTTACTGATTGCGGCATTATCAACCGTAGTTCTGTATAGTAGATGTGTAATTTTCGTAGCTCGAAATACGTGATAACGACGCCACCCGATCGCAACGGAGGCAGTGTCTCCGCTATCACCCGTGAAACACCACGAAATCATTTTTAAAGGATTCCTGATGGTCGGGTTGCTGCTACTTTACATTCCATGGTCAGTGACGTGATAAGGAAAAAGAAATCATCGATTTAACACCAACAATTAAGTCGTCCAGGCACGCCCACTCTTCGCATTGTGTACAATCTTGGCCCGGCACGGGGTCATATACTGGGCATTTCGGGTTTTGTCTTCATTTGTGAGCTGATTTCGACCTTGTCATTGGTATTGGAGCGCTAGAACCAATGAGGAGAAAAAACAGCATGCAGAGCTCATGCTACATTCCTTCAAATCTCTTCCATCAAGTAAGGGTGAAGCTGTGATGCTTAGCTAGATTGTTAGTCCACAATCTCGACCAGTTTCCCATGCTCGGCGTGGGTCTTAATAAGCTGATTCAACGGCAATCGGTCTCAGTAAGGCGTCCTGGGTGACGCTGGTCTGCAAGGCCAAAATGAACCTTTGAGATCGGTTTAACACCGCTTCGCGACTAAAAACTTCACAAATGAGCATTGCTCCACGTTCATTTGATGTTCAGACGCCTTCCTCGGACATAGTGGTTTGTCCGCGATCCTGCGGGATTTACTACTTTTGCAGCTAGAAATGTGCGAGGAAAGCGCGACCCGCTCACGAGGAAGCTATCGCCCCGCCCATTGGCTACCGCAACGCCCAACTTCCATTTTCAGCTTATTTGCTAGATGATGCCGTGGTTCTTTCCGCTACGAACTCTCTCCTGACACTCTCCATTACGGACGGTCACAGTGGGATGATAGGGGAAAAACCTGACACATAGTAATCTAAACTGAAGGGTAACATTGTCACAAATAATCTATCTGAGTGGCGGCTTTCAATGAAATCCAACGCTCCTACCTGGTTGACTCACAGTTCGCCCTAAAGTCAACTCTTTTGCGGCAGTCAGGTGCGAAGGTATCAACTACTTGTTAGTCATAGATTCATATACAAAACAGAGTCTTTAGTCAGTTAACAATTCATACTTCCCAAATTTCCAACAATAACAATAAAAAATTTTGGCAATAACTAGGAGACAGGAACAGCTTCACACACCTGATCAGTTATGAGCCGCTGACGCACTGCCATCTCGTGCATCTTACTCCGTGATTTCAGCTGCTGCTGCGCTGCCGACAGACTATTGACCATACCTGTAAACGATATATCACAGATTATTGATTTTGCCTACTGATGCGAAACTTTACTAACGTACCAGGATTACCAGCAAAATGAGGAGTTGGATTACACGTGCCATATACCACGTTGTTCATCACCATTCCGCCTGCAGGCGAACTACGCTCAGATGTTGGTGGTGATGGAGTGCGATCTTCAAGAGCTGAATCATAGAGTAAGCATCGTCAAAGAAAACCTTATTGTTATTATTGTTAGGTAAGTGAGATTTTCTGGTGAAACTTGATTTGGTGGTTGTATATCACTGGTTTCCAGTGTTCCAGCACTTGCCGATGCCTTCTGTAGACTTTAGATACGCCCGTTGTGATGATCATAAGGGGTCGTATTTGACTGCGAGGGAGGGGGGGTCGTATTTGGTCGTTGTTGGGAGAGGGACTGCCAAAGATCTATACAACTACTATTTCCGATAGTTGAAAATGATAGTTAAATCCTGACGACCTCCCCCCCCCCCTTCCCGCTCGACGAAAAATTTTTGGCTGAAAAACTGGAATATTTTTTTGGAAAGTGGAGGAAGTAGGTAGGTAGCATGGGTAGCATGGAGAGGGGTCGTATTTGAGGATGGAATCAGGGGGGTCGTATTTTTCGAGAAATGATCACAACGCGATGGCGTGCCCTGAAGACTTCGTTTTCAATTGACCAGGGTGTAGGGTGAGATGTGTGATTTAACAGGGTCTAACAAAAGATACTAGTAAAGGTGCCAAATATCCACACTAAGCCAAACAGCGCGCCACTCATTATAAGAATGTTGAGTTATTGTCAAAAAGCAGGACTCGAGCTTGGACTTCACGCGTACATACTGTGCCAGTGAGCTCAACATTGTACCGCACAGGTTGCCTTCTACTACCCACCGTCTAGGATTGCCGGAGCCAGAAAGCGACGCCATAGGCATGGCTGCATGCGTCAAGACAGTCGTTATATGCCGCCTAGTGGGAGTGGCGAACGACGCCGCACGCGGCAGACGAGTGGTCCTGCCTGGCCTTGCGAACCCAAGTGCTGAAGGAACGCGACAAGTCACAATTGTCTTGCCCGTCTCCCGGTGTGCCGATCTCCTGCTCTCCGCGACAGCGAAGAATGCGGGAAAGGGGGCCAACCAATGACGTCGTTTCCCGGCTCCACCCACTCGGCGAGTCCGGTGTCTTTAATGGTCCTTAACTGCATAACTGCTCAACCAAGTTATGAGGGTTGAAGTTAGTAGATAGTTTATGTAGTGTAACGGTTGCCACACCAGCGCAGTGTGATGAGCATGAGGTCCAGTTTCGAGCACTGACTGGATCTGAGCGCTTTGCTCATTCTTCAGTGTTCCTGTAATGATTTTCGCTTCGCAAACTGCGGCGACAGGCAACATCGGTCATGATAGGACGAACCAGGAAACAAAGGTTATTATTCAATCAAAATCAAATAACAAACCATCGAAGAATGTTATGGTTTCCTGCGGCCCAACGCCATTGAAAGGTGTCATAGGAGGCGGCACATGATGCATTGAATGAGAGGAAAATGTTTGCTGAGGAGGTGGTTGGTGTTGGTTGCGTTGGACACGCTGCTGAAGGGGTTTTCAATAATCTTTCTCAACTTCTCAAGAAAGAAGAATACAACATGTACCTCCTGGGGGTGAGGAGCCATTTGGTGCGAGAACTGGCTGACCGGTGAAGCGGGGCTGTGCTGTTGTTATGCTCAGCCGGATGATAGCATCTGCCCGAGAATACTTCTGAGAAAACGCGGAAACATAAAAGTAGACCATGGAAAGCAACTGCTGCCATCTGAATTGCATGTGCATAATCGAATCTCAGCTCAAAAATACGTGAGGAAAGCGCGACGGACTGCGACGGAACCACTGCTCCGCCTACTGACCAAGGCGACGCCCAATCACTCATTTTTAATTCGCTACCAGTAGTGGAGCGCATTCACTCGCTAAACGCTCTCCTGAGGATGTATGAGCAGTTCGGTGAAAAGAAGAATAGCGGCACCGAACCAGAGCGGGAAACTGTGCGGCGACGCTCACGCGCGGCAACATGGCTTCTAATGGAGCAAAGTCGGCCGCTTATTTTCCTGCTCTCTTTTCATCAATTTTGTATTATTTACCATCTTGTGGTCATTGCTTGAGCCCCAGAAGTCGCCATTCTGAGCGCACGCCGTGCTCTCATATAGTGTGGGACGATGGCGCAGTAGCCCTTTCAAGCACAAGGCGCGCCATTTGTAGAAGCTGCCTCACCCACATGGATCGAGACATGCCAGTGCTCCTTGATCTATAAAGGCAGTTTATAAAGACGTATGTGACGAAGGGAGGTCATTCTGTGTAGGACCGAGATTCGTCGTCTATTTCGTTCTTCAACTCATCTTCTCATCTTCCTCCTCTGTCATACGCGTCTCTGGGCGCAGTTCGGTGACAAGGTGTGGGCATTTTGCACTTTCGCTGCTTCACTAGTTCCGGTTTACAAGTCTTACCTGGTGAAACCTGTGCACCTCTGTGAAGCTAGAGCAAGCTAGTCGAGCCACGACTGTGAAACCTGCCAACTCTTGCAAGCTCATGAAAAGCTCCCTAGATGGGTTGAGACGTCCACGAGACGCAGAAGAAGTACAAAATGCTCCAGCCCCCCCCCATCGCCAAACTGCCTCTCGTCTTCGGCTTCTAGCCCGCGGAGCAGTTTCTCGCTTCTTGGAATGTGCGGGAGCTTTCAAGTCCCACCTAAGGCGCCGTTGACGGTTCTATTCCCTTTTTCCTTCACTGGCAGACCGATCGCGGGTTCATGTTGGTCCCCAAAGCCCATGAATTGTAATAACACGCTTCGTCTTCAGAGACCATTGAATTCACATAACTGAATGCGTTGATGCGCCTGACGTAAAGCCATTGTTTTCCTATTTACCCCTTTATAGGTTATATAAATACAGGTTTTTACAAATACAACGTAGTGTACACAATGAATCTCGAATTATTCATCTTGTTACCGAAATAATTTAGCCCAGTTCTGAAATACACAAGTGATCGCATGATCACAGTGATCGCCACCAAACAGCGCAGTGATCACCACTAAGCATGGCGTCGGTAAATTCAAACATTTTGGCCGTTTACAGTTCACAGTCACACATCCTAGCGAAGTTTTTTGAATTCTGGCCAGCCCTTTGGTTTGGCCTAATCTTCCCAGAC